ATTTTTTTTTAAAATTGAATCTTTATTGTTAATAAAGATACATTATTTTTATAAATCTTTTGAGTGCAAATAGTTTTATTTCTCAGTCTTTTAAGTTATTATTTAAAAGGTGTCACTTTTTTTGGTACCAGTGATGGAAAGGAACTGGTTATAGTAATACTTGTTATAGTTACTAGTGCTAGTGTTGTAGTAATTTAGTAATAGGGTTATTAATACTATACTTACAATAATAGTTTTATTATAGGATTACTTTATAGTAAGAGAACTGAGCTTTTAGATATTAGAAGCATTCATTTTAGAATTATGATCAAAATCTTAATAAAAGCTAAGTAAATATTTAAAAAAATAATAATAATTAAATATTCTTTGTGAGTATCTTCAAATATAAAATAAATACTATATTATTGGTAAACAATACTTTACTTTTATTAAATTATGATAATGAAAAAAGAAGGAAATCTTCATTTTCATATGTAAAAGAATGTTTGATCCCTAAATAAAGCAAACATTAATGTCTTTAACCCACTGATGGCTTTGAAATATTTATTTTTACTGATTCTAAGTGTTCACTCTTTTTTTTCTGCAGCTGTGATTCAGGCTGATTCCCCTCCTCTTGTAATCAGAATTGTGTGTTAAAGGGTGTCCCAAAACTAACACAAGGTTTGAATTAAATGGAAAACACAGTTCTTAGATTTTTTTTCATTGAATTATAAAGTATGTAGGATAGAGTTATTCATGGAGTAACACATTGGGCAAATGGCCTCTACAGCTTTTCTTGGTACATAAACACACTCTTTTATTGAAATTTTTCATGGCCTTTCTCCATAATTGTGATTGAATTTCATTGATGTAGCTTTTAATTAATTAAATGCATGGGTGGTTGTGGACTTGTTGACTTAGACCTTTGACTTCAAATGATTCCATAAAAAGAAATCTAATGGTGCTAAATCACATGATCTAAGGGGCTAATTCTGATCACCTGGATGAGAGAGTACACGACCAGGAAATGTCTCGTGCAGTAATTGAATTGTTTTACTGGCTGTATGGCATGTGGCACCGTCTTGTTGAAACCTTTAATGCTGTGGTGTGTAATGATGTGGCCGCGACATATTGGCCATACCAATAGCATTCGATTTTGACAGAAAGAACTGTGTTATAATGCCGCAATATTGAGCACCAGTAACAGTTACTGCTTGACCAGCCTGATTTTCATAAAAGTATGGTCCAATGATGCCTCCAGTCCAAAATTCACACCAAACAGGAACACATTGTGAGTGCATTTGTTGTTCGACAATCAGATGTTGGTTCTCAGAACCCCAAGCACGGCACCTCTAACTGATCCAGTCTCCCCGAATTTTTCAATTAATCTTTTAACAGTTGTCAAAGTTAAAACATTATTTTGACCATATTTTGTATAAAATTTTTGAACATTGAACCAAAATTTCATTATTTTGAAATATTGTTAAATAATGAAAACCCGTTGTTGTAGCATATAATGCTCCATTTATACTATCCCAAAATTCTGAGCTGTCAAATTGTTTTTTCTTTTTTTCAGTGTTGCAAACAATTTACTGCAAAAATGACGGCAAGTTCACATCTTGCATTAATTTTGGGACACCCTTTATAATGGGTAATTTTCTGGATAAATGATATAGCACATAAAAATCAGAGATTTTTTCTAAGTGCAAGCCTGTTTATGAGTAAAAAATGGAGTGAGGTTTTTTACGTGGACAATGTAAGTGGATAAAAAGAATTAAAACTTTCTACATCTAAACCCGCCGATGGGTTTAATAAGCTATAGAGAAATATTTTATTGGTTAACAATGCCTTTACAGCTATTATTGATTTTAAATTGAAGACCAGAGAAATCTTAATTTTCTTGGGGTAGAACTGAATTATAATGCATGCTTTATTTTCCCAAAGATAATGGCAGGGCCTATCATCATTTTCAAAATATTTTTGCTTGTATGAGTAACTAATAGATCATCAGTTTTCATTTTGAAATAAAATTTAGGACTATCTTATTAGTGACAGTTATAATTTATGTACACTTATAACATTTAAAAATTTAATGCAAATTTAGTAAAATCCGAATTTTTAAAAAAAAAATTTTTTAAAGTTTGTATATATTTGTAAAAGATGTTCAATTTTATTTAATTTTATAACCCTTATTGAACTGCCTACTCAATTTTGAGTTTACGCTAACCAATTTCAACCCCGTCACTTTATAATTTTGAACCCAACCCAGAAGACAAATGAATTCCTGTATCAAGTTTTCGAAGAAATTTTGCAATTTCGCCTTCATGAAAGACTTTTTTATGGAGCTAACTCTCATTTGTTTTATATGATGATAAAAATCACCCATGGTTTGCCAGATGGCAGGGTACTTAAGGGGATTACTAATGATCCATCTATCTATGAGGATAATTTACATCACCACTGTGGTCAGTGCAAGCCGGGTGCGGAATTCGTACCGACCAGCCATCCTTGGCATTCAAACATGGGTCACCTCATTGGAAGGCAAGTGCTCTACCCCTTAACCATCACACCTCCAATTACAGTCAACTTGAAAGAATTAATAGGGCTGTGTCAGTAATAGTTTTCATTATCTGACTGTCATTTTTAGATATAGTATGCTATTTTGTTTTGAATAGTGGCAAGAAATGATGACTACAGTGCATTATAGAAGAAAATGTAATATAGCTGTTGTATAATATTCGAAAAATGCATTCATAATTGTTGTGAATGTATTCAATTTTTAAAAAAAAAATCTGAAACGATAATAAATCTAAAAAGATTATTATGAGACTAATCATTAAAGATTGGCATAATCTTAAGATATTTTAAAAGGGATACATGTTTGGTAAGTGAGCAACTTCAATGTGTTTCTCATTTTATTTTATGTGTTTATTATTGTATCTTTTTTTTTAAGTGTCATTAAGTAGAAGTTTTGTGCATGTATATTGTTATATTTCTATGAAACTTGTTGCAAACTGGTAACAACACATGTTTAGTGTTGTACGATAAGTTTTGTGTATGTGTATTGCTCTGTTTTTATAAAATTTGCAGCAGTTTGATTTTTAAAAAAAAACTGTTTCCTGGGAAGTTAACATTTTATACCAATCTGCCATTTTTTTTTTTTTTTTTTTAAATTTATGAAAGGCATGCTTAGTATTGTTAAATTATAGTTTTCTGTATGTATATTTTTATTTTTATATGACAATTGCAGCTGAGAGGGAACAAGATATGTTTATATGTTAGCATTGTAAAATAATAGTTTTATGTGGATATACTTTTATCAGTATTGTCTTTACGCATGGGCACATCCTGACAGTGCCCGGGGACTTCAGGCACTCAGGGAGCCCTTGAGAATCTTATTTTTCATAAATTGTATTTAAAAAAAAAAAAAACAAAGGATAAACAACATTGCCTTATATATTCTTTCCCCAAATAGTGATTGACTATCATAACACACCAATAATTTGAATAGTTTATCACCAGAAAAAGTTAAAAAGGAACCCGAAATCTATTTTTCTGCATTGCGATGATGTTTTGTATTTGACTCTCACTTTGTGCAAATGTTGACAGATCATTGTGTTCCTGAAAAAATATCGATGTAAAATAAATTAATGTGAGCAAGTTTTATGTTAAGTCAAAATGTCTCTAAAAGTGCTTGACCACAACCAACTCTGTTTAGTATGTACAATTAATTTTAAAAAAAGTGATATTCGAAAGAGTTTAGAATTACGGAGCACTATGGGACAGCAACTTTTAAACTAGTTATGTCTGATGTGCATTGAAAGATGTAATAACTGCCAAGTTTGACAAAGTAATACATACTTTAGATTTTTTTTTTTCATTTGTTATACATTTATGCTTTTTTTTAAATTTAATTATTTTAATTAACTTCCAATAGTTTTCATGATTATTCGAAGATTGCAACTGGTTACCACCTCAATTTTTTTTTTTTTTTAAATATTCATAGGTTGAAAATGCTTTATTTTATATGCATCGAATTTTTAGGGTAATCAAAATATGTTTACATTTGTTAAAATTATTGCATATCTCAAAAATGCTTTGTGTATATGTAATTTTTTATTTTGATTTTAACATGTTATGACATTTTTGTGCACGGGGGACCTGACATGTTATGACATTTATGTACCCAGGAACCCTGCATGCTTAATAGCATGCCCTGACTTTTATGTTTGCATGCGAATTTGCAGCAGTGTAATAACAAAACTGTTACCCGAGAGTTAAAAATTTATATAGATCTGCCAACTTTTAATTTATCAAATGCATTTTTTGTGTTAAAAATAACCGCAATACAAGTGAACTTCATAAGGTTCTGCCTAGTGATGAAAAGGGCATCAATAAAAATGAATCAAAAGTGGTTGGCGAACAAATGCCAAAATTTGATAGCGACAAATAAAAAAATCAGTTCCGCTATCTTTGCTATATTATATATATATATTTTTTTCATTATATAATCTTTTTTTATCTTTCTTTTTTAGGTTCTAATCAAAAATCACTAGACACAACATGAATTTTAATGAAGGAAAGTAAATTATTATATAGAGGGCTACCATGCTAAAAATTGACATCTATACACTACTGTCTCGTGACTGATTTTGATTATAGTTGAAGCTATTGATATTTGTTTTCTTGGTTTATCTACATATCCAATGTTGCTTAAGAGGTTTTGTTGATTGCATAGCCATGGTCACAACCATTTGTCTCAGAGTTGGTAATGTCATTGTTTATAGTAGTTGACATTTCAAATGAATTATTCTTCCCATCTTCTGCTGTATTTTATGATTAATAACTTTACTTATTGTCTTCTGGAGTGCAACAATCTAAATGTTTTGAAATTGAAAACTTCTATAGAATTTTAAAAGATGTTTTCTCATTTAAATATTTATCAACAGGTCTACTTTTAAGTTTGTTTAAAAAAAAATTTCATAATCTTGCTGAAAAATATTTGAATAAATTATGTTTTTGCACATCATATTGAAATACAATTAAATATTAAAAATATATCAAAGCAGTAATTTTCAGGTTTTTATTTAAATAATCTATTTTATTTATAAAATTTGGAAAAGTTTTTTGTCCGGACATGTCTGTGAAAACGTTTGGGCATAGTTTTTCGGAAACAAGTCGCAAATCTGTTCTTGCAATTGAAAAATCTCATTCTTATAATCGAAGTTATAACAGATCTTTTCAAAAATTCAACTTAATTAAATGTCATTTTGTTTATCATGGTTTAAAAAAATATTCTTGTAATTTATGCTATGAAAGATTTTCTCGTAAATGTTATTTGATGCTACACTATCGTGTTCATTCTGGTGGAAAACCTTATTCTTGTAGTCTGTATAGAAAGAATTTTTCAAGAAAATTTAATTTAATTAGTCACAACTTTAATCTTACTGGTGAAAAATCTCACTCTTTTATTGATAAACCATATTCCTGTGTCATATGTCATAAAAGTTTTGTTGAAAAAAGTGCTTTAGCAACACATAGCCTTGATCACACTGCTGAGAAACCTTATTATTGTATTGCATGCAATAAGAGTTTTACACAAAAAGGTACATTAAATAGACACAATCGTATTCACACAGAGGGTAAACCTTATTCTTGTAGTATATGTCAGAGAAGCTTTACAACAAAAAGTGCATTAATAAAACATAACCTTGTTCATAGTGGTGTAAGAAATTATTCATGTATCATATGTAATAAGAGGTTTGCAACAAATTCTGCTTTAAATGAGCACAATCTTGTTCATACAGGGGAAAAATCTTATTTTTGTAGAGTATGTAATAAGGGTTTTTTAAGAAAAAGTGATTTAACAACACATAGCCTTGTTCATACTGGTGAAAAACCTTATTCTTGTACTGTATGTAATAAGAGTTTTGCAAGAAAGAGTGACTTAAGAACTCATTCCCTCATTCATACTGGCGAAAAACCTCATTCTTGTAATATTTGTTTCAAGAATTTTGCAAGAAAAAGTGACTTAAGAATACATGTCGTCATTCATACTGGTGAAAAACCTTATTCTTGTAGTGTATGTACTAAGAGTTTTGCGAGAAAAAGTGATTTAAGAACACATACACTCATTCATACTGGTGAAAAACCTTATTCTTGTACTGTATGCTATAAAAGTTTTGCAAGAAACAGTGCATTAACAGAACATAGCTTGCTCCATTCTGGCGAAAAATATTATTCTTGTAATGTATGTCATAAAAGTTTCTCAAGAAAAGGTAATTTAAAAACGCATACCTTCCTTCATACTGGTGAAAAACCTTATTCTTGTACTGTATGTTATAAGAGTTTTTCAAGAAAAAATGAATTGAAAACGCATACCTTCATTCATGCTGGTGTTGAAAATCCTTATTCTTGTGGTATATGTCAGAAGAGTTTAACAACAAGCAGAGCATTATTAAAACATAGCTTTCTTCATACTGGTGAAAAACCTTTTTCTTGTATTGTATGTTATAAAAATTTTACAACAAATGATGCATTAAATAGACACAAACGTATTCACACAGGGGAGAAACCTTATTCTTGTAGTGTATGTCAGAGGGGTTTTACAACAAACTGTATGTTAACTAAACATATTGTTGTTCATACTGGTGAAAAAAATTATTCATGTAGTATATGCAATAAAAGGTTTTCAGCTAATAGTTCATTAAATAGACACTATCGTATTCATAGCAGGTGATAAACTTTATTCTTGAAGTGCAAGTAATATTTAAGAAAATGTTATTTCACAGGACATGACTTAGTTCGTATTGATGAAAGCCTTATTCCTAATATGTTTTTTATGTGAGTTTCGCACGAAACAGTGCATTAACTGAGCGCAACCTTGTCCATTTTGGGGAAAGATCTTATTATTCTTATAGTGTTTGCAATAAGGGTTTTGCTAAAGGATTTGTCTTAACTTCATTTAACCATATCCATAGTGGCAAATCACTCAGTTTTAGTATGCATGTATTAAATGCTTTTCTAATAAGAGGCCATTGAAGGCTCATGATCTCACTTGTGTCTATATATGTTGTGTGGATCTCTCATCAAAGTGATTCAATTATGATAAGAGTTTTAACTCTTAATTAATATAAAAGTTATGATAAAAAATAATAAGAGTTTTTCTCAAAATATTAATTTAAATGTACTTATTGTCATACATGCTGTCTAAATAGTATATAATGTCTCTTATGTATTGTATGCAGTTCATGTCTAGGGCCCCGCGCGCTTAATCCAGCCCTGATGTCGTGTAATACATTAATAGGGTTGGTGGTAAACTAAAATGCTATACAAAGTCTCTCTTATTATATTACATTAGTCACACAAATTTAATTTGGTTTTGCAAGAATTAAGTTAGTTGGTCCCAATAATAATTTTGAAGATTTAATTTTTAATGCATGCAGAAATATAACTTTTTTTTACTTCAGATGAATATTTATTCATTGTTTGTGTTGTAAATACTTAATAAGATGAAATTATGTTTTATTTATTTATATTTTAATAAAGAAATTTGTTAAAAAAAATCTATTATCATTATGTTATTCATTTTGGAAAGTTCGTTTAATAAAAGTTTCATAATAAAAATTATTTATACTTGCAGCAAACCTAACCTAGAAGCATTGTATACTCTTATACCACAATAAATAATGTTTTGCCTTAATTGAATACTTTGCATAAAGGTTGGGTTTTCTGTGCCATTAGTTGTTTTCATTGACAAAAGCATAAGGTTACATGGGATGAAAAGCGTCAAAATCTGGAGAAAAAAATTTGGGACATATTATTAGAAGCCTAGCTGCATTTCTGTACATTATATTTCATTAATTTGCTGTCCATTATTTCATCAAGATTTTGCAACGTTTCTTACAAATTATTTTCTGTTGGACTTCTGCTACTTAGCAATCATTGTGCATTATTTTGTTTTTTTTTTATTATAATTTTTTTTTATCTTTAGATTTAACGTTTTTTGTAGATTATTTTTAGTAGGCCTACTTTTACTTTGTGATTGCTGTGTGACATTTTGTTCTAAGCTCACTCTAAGATAAAAATGGAAAAATAATAATAATGTACCAAAAGAAAACTATTCTTCATTAATTGTTTTCTTTAGGTTTTTTTCTTCTTTTTTTTCCATTCTTAAACAGCACAATATAATAGTGGTATTTTCTATTGAAATAATTTATACTTTGTCATCAAAAGTTGGTTTATTTTTTCCTCTTTTATTTTTTAATTCTTTCAATGCACATAAGCGTAATAACTTGATTATTTTTAAACCCAAATCTTGAATCGTTTCTGTTTATAAAAAATTAAAACAAATCTTACATTTATTTATTTGACATCCGACTATTAAGTCTATCCAATATAATTTTTTATAAAAAAAAAAAAAATATTACAAAATTGACAGCAATGTTTTATTTAATTAATTTTTATGCTTTTTTTTTCCTTCTATTCAAATCTCACTTGTTTATGACTTAAAATATTGGACAAGGTCAAGTGATTTTATAAAACATTTTTTAAAAGGGTGAAAAAGAGATGGGAATCTAGACAAGGGGATGACCTTGTCTGACCTTTGACTTTATATAGTCCACTGTGTTTTCTCAAATTGTATCACCCCCTGGGTAAACCCCCTATTTGATTTAGCTTCAAGGACCTTTTGGTCAAACTTAAAAAGAAACAGGGAGGGGGGTTAGTCTGCACCTGTGATGGATGCTTTTGAAAAAAACCACAGAGAGGTCTTTTTTTATCTTAGTGAAGCAAACAAAAATTTTCCAGAACATTCTATAATACTGTCTTCTCCATACTTTTTTTTAGTATAAAAAGGCATACTTACTTAAATAATAGTTTTCCACTTTTTATGTTTTTATTTACAAAAATTGATTATCCATATTTTTTAAAAATGAAATTAGTTTAATTTAAAAGTGAATAAGCATATGAATGTGAATTATAAATATTAAGCTTAAATTGAAAATTGCATTTCAATTAAATGTCTAAAAATTATAAAAATGGGATTCAAATTTACAACGATTTTTTATTTTATTATTTGTATCAAATTTTTAATATTGACATTGCAAAGAAATGTTTATTATCCTTATAGTTCATAACATCATGTTATCTAATTCTTCAAATGATTGTATAGAACAGTAGTTCCCAAATGGTACGTTGGGTTTCCCCGAGTTTCGACTTTTTTAACCAGTGATGATTTATAAACCTCTAATTATATTTAGACCCAATCAATAATCCATTATTTATTTAATATTTCAATGTCTTAGTTAAAAAGTTACGCCTTCTAAAAAGTTTTGTGAAACAAGATACTTTTCTTCCAAACAGTATTATTTAAATTGCAGGGAAAAAATATGTTAAAAGAAAGAGCTATAAACACTACTTCATATTTTGTGTTTCAATGACGCAACAAAATTCGGAGAATTGCTTAGAGGATGCTCTTTTATATGAAGTATAATTTCTTAACCAAAGTAGCAATGGCAGAATAATAAAATATTTCCGACTAGGGCATTATTTGATTTTTTAAAATCAGTAGGAAAATTTGCAAGCTTCAAAAAGAATCTACTGGCTAAACCAAGATTCGTACTGTCATTTTTCAAAGCGGTATCGTAATACATTTGGTGGCACAGAAAATGAGACAAAATCATCACTGTGGAACATTTGCAATCAAACGATTACTAAATGGTTAATGTGAAATATATATTAGTATGATAATTTAAATAAAACTGTTTTATACGATTTTCATGCTAAAAATATCTGTGTATATATTTGGAATTGAATTTTTGTTAATGTAAGAAACTGGCCTATGCTTTTAATGGAGAGGAAAACCTCGCACGGTTGCATTGTGAACAAGGTAATTCTGACCCATAATCTCTTTGCAACTGAGGATGTTTTACCGTGGTCGGTGCGAGTAGAATTCGCACTGCTGGGATTCGAACCTGTACCATCTCATCAGGAGGCTAACGCCCTATCCTCTGAGCCACGGTAGCTCTTTGGTATAGTGTGACACAATTCTAAAAGCATTGTACTAGTCTTTAAATTTGTACTTTTAGACCCTTAATTTTTAATAAAAGATTGTTAAGAAGATTAGCTCAATCAAAGTAATTTAGTTTTTCCCCATCTGAATTAAGTTTGTTGCATAATTTCTTGTTTTTTAAGCATTGTGAATCATAGATTGCTGTACAGACTTTATTCTAAACCTTAAAATTTGCAAATTGCAAGAAAGAACATTGAATTTCATATAAAAACTTCGAGATTCTTCAGGATCGCATAATATTTAAGGCTTTTAATGTACAAATCATTGCAATCAATTTGCGAATTCAAGTTATTGGTTTTAAAACGAGCGAAATCCTCACATTTCGAGCAATTTGCGTCTTGCAATAACGCACTAAAATCATCAAAATTTTAAAAAACGTGTTGAATACAGTAGTAACACCTGCCGAAAGAGTTATCTAAAAACCTACGTAAATTTGCATCGTTCGAAATAGGGCGATTCGCAAGTTTTAAGGAACTTCATTGTTTGTTTGTTCATTTACGTCGCACTAGAGCTGCACAATGGGCTATTGGCCACGGTCTGGGAAACATCCCTAAGGATGATTCGAAGACATGCCATCAAAATTTTGATTCTCTGCAGAGGGGATGGTAAGGAACTTCATACCGACTGTTATAGCAACGAATCACAAGTTGCAGAGATTTAACGCAAACGCATTTCTTCCTTTCTCCCGTTGTTGCAACTGCTAGCGGTCCCGCAGTGGACTGATCGTTAAGACACGGCTCCCAACAGATCACCGAAGTCAAGCATCACTGGCCACGGTCAGTGTGCGGGTGGGTGACCACTTGGATCAGCCTGCGTAGAGACCGAGGGAGTGCGGTATTGGTCCTCGTTAAACTGGGCTACCGTAAAGT